ATAAAAACTAAGTATCATCATTATTATGGTGTTGAATGTCTAAAACTATGGAAGTCACGCTAAACTGTAGGCCTATTAGTGTTCAATGTTTCACGACCTTAAATTTCAATGTATAAACAGTGCTTCAGATGGTACTATCACTAACAAGCCACAAGATTTAACGATACTGTGTACTGTCAAAGAGAAGGCTTTCAAAAAAAACATTATTTGCAACTACTTCCAGTTAGTAATTATTTAATGTTAACGAATCTATTTTTATAAAATCTCATAGTATGATCATTTACAAGAACCCAAGTAAAAACGTACACAAGAGGCAACTGATTAAAACCATTGCCAAACATTATACTCTTAGCCAATGGTAAATAGAGAGAGAGGGGTGTTAAACAGGGAAGGACATATTTCCGGTCTAAAGAAGAAAATATACTTCAAGCATGTAGTAAAAAAAAAAAATCTATATATGCATGAGCACGTTTATCCCTGAGGAATGTGAGGGCTATCTGCTCTGAGTATGAAATGACAGAGTAGAGAGAATGCAGCTTGTTAACCCCCCTCCCCCAACTCATGGACTACTCTATTCAAACAGTGGGATTTGACCCTCACCCATATATAATACACCCATAGCCCTAGATTGCAGCATGTAATTTGTTTTCCCGAGGGTAATGGGCCGCAAACCATGGAATCTCAGACAATCCAGCATGCTAGCCACTGGACTATACTTGGCCCCAATCCTAAATTTATCATTTACGACTGCCACACAGAGGGTTGTACCTTTGGCACAATGTTTGAATATATGTTGTTATGCTGTAAAGCTACAATAACTGTTACCATTACATTCTATCATTTAAATTGATTTAATTTTGATATATTTTTATTAACTGAGCTTGACCTGTCAAGTAGTTTCATCCTACTGTAATACTGAAATTAAAATGTTACATGCTGACCAGACAAGTTTATTTCAGTGTTCTTATCTGCAAACACCAAACTAATGTTTTTTTATTGTTAAGTTTGGTATCGCAACAGTAAATTTCAGTACTTATGATGCTAAAAATGATGTCTATAGATATTAAATCCTCTTGATCTATACAACATAAACAGTAGAATGATGGTAGGTTACTTGTAGACATTGTAAAGAAGTTACACCTTGTTGGACAGAAGAAATGTCTTAACATCTAATGCCATACATAATTAATCTATCAAAAATATCATGATATCAATTTTCTATAAATAGGGAACACAGCACCTTAACTTTTAACCCACTTAGAGTGTTAGTATATCCCAAGTTCGTAACGATGTCGACATTGATTAAAGGGTCATATATGAAATCTGTTTTCTAGTAACCTTTAAAAGAGTAACCTCTGTTACGCTATCACAACCTTGAGGGTAAAATTATTACTTCATTTCAATTATTCCTCTTACAAAAGACAAAGACATTTCTACCTGTCCTAGTTTCGGGAAAGTGAGTGTGAAATGTCTGAAAACACAAAATGTAGTCATGAGCTTTAAGAAAGCTGCTTATCTGTGAAAGTAATGAGTCAAACAGGACAAGATGGGAAGGCTGTGAAGAGAATGTACTGCTGGTAACGTCTTGTTTGATATTCTCCTCAAGCCACGTGGTCGGGTTGCGGAAGAAAATGTCGGCCTCATCCTCGTAAGATGATGTTTCTTCAAAGTTCGGTTCACACGTTAAAAATCGCATGGACACATTCCGATGTATATGACTAAAACAAAATAATATGCAATGCTCATTTATTACAGACAGTAGAAAATGTGAAGTGAAAATAACATAACTAGAATAACAAAAAAAAAATCTAACTAGGTAACAACCTATACATGGACCAATAAGTTATAAATTATGTTGAAATGCTACTCAGAAGTTCTAATGGTAACCATAATTTATTCTGAAGTTCATTAAACACTGTAACAACAAATTAAAGTTAAATACTTCCTGTAACCATAATTTATTCTAAAGTTCATTAAACTGTAACAACAAATTAACGTTAAAATAACTTTTGATACATTCTGTGTATCTTCATAAAATTTCGCAGACTTTTAGTAAACATTTCAACTCTTTTGTAAACAAACAAATCAGATTTTTTAATAAAGATTTGTCTGTGAATATATATAGTATTGCTATATACTAGTCTGTATGATTTCCACGTTAAGATTAAAAATTCTTTACTTTGTCTCAAAAATCTCGGATTTTATTCGTAAAATCTCCTAAATAACTTTAAAACGTTTTTTTTCAGTAAAACTTTATATTTTATGTTATTTTCTCTAACATACCTTTATACAAGGTTGGTCAATTTGACCGACCTCATAACCACAAAAATATTATCTAAATAAATCTAAATTACCCTTTTTTTCTTTCTAGAATGACTTCAAATTGTAATACGAAAGTACCTTTGTTTATCCTAAATAGCTTTAAACTCTTAACAGTATACATCTTTTTATACTTATATTTTATTGTTTTATTGCCCTTTGAACCCTGTCTAACTACTATTCACACCATTATAAGTGGTAAATCACTTGGGGAATTTGCAGCTCACGTTATGCTATCAAATTACATTACCCACTAGCTGCTTGTGTGCATGCCATGCGAAACATTTTTATTATATTATTATTTATTTTACCTAATCTAATCTTAAGTAACCTAAAGAGTTTCCTATTTTTGCATTTTAGATAACTTTATAGTAATAAATAAAGAATAAACATGAAAATCAAGAAATAAAGTACTTATTTGGGTATTATTTTGTTGCTGTCAACTGTTGATGACACTTAACCTTACTTTTTTATATTAAAGGTTAGTAGTACACTAAATAATTTTTATTTAATTAAACAATGCAATAAAGAACATAGAATAATAACCTGCAAAAAACAGACAATGTCCCATAAGTAGCACAATTTTTCTGGCTTTCTAACTATGCGACAAAAGCTATTACAAATTCATCCAAGTTAGTCGATATGTTTCCCATAGAAACGAAGCTTGCACTGAAAGAGAAATTGATGATTTTCTGCACAGAAAACATCATAATTAAATAAACATCATTTTATAGATGAAAACCTTGACTTTCTATTGATTATAAATAATATAGTGTTAAACATAACAGATAACTATTGACAAAAGCTGAGAGAGGATGTGATAGGTGCGTGTGGCAAGAGGGGTTTGATTTTCTATTTAATGGTTCTATAACCAAACAAGATTGAAAGCAATAAAAATTATGCTTTGTCTGAGTGATGAAGATATTATAGTCAGTAATTTACGTTAAATTTGTACTTACTGGAGGGGTGGTGAATAAATTAGAGAAGAGAGGATGCCTAGAAAAAAATGTCATTTCACACACTAGGGAAAATTCAGAATTTTGTATTGCCTCATAAAATTAAGAAATTAAAACTTATATACTATTAAAGTATGGATTATTAGCTATGATTTTATGTTTTACTATTTGGTATGACGACAAAAAAGATGTTTAATTAAATTTTGAATGTAAGTCACTAAAAACCTTGTGACAATGCAGTAAAGAATGCAGAGAGTGTTAAGAGGTTCTAGTTTATTTAAATAAAATATAAAAGCTGTAAGATAAAAAGAAGTATTTTTATTCTATGCACGAAAATCACTTTTCAGTCAGACCGAATCAGTAAAGGCTTTGGAAATTCACAGTCAAATCTTTTGAAAATACTTTATCAAAATAATTTATATTTTTATGTACAAAAATTAATGTCTACTAAAACCTTGCTATATTTCATGAAGATACATGTACTAAATTCAGAGTTATAGCATACATAGCTTGACATAAACTGGATCTGTCCAATGGACTGACACTGCTCACAAAGTGTGAACCACTAGGCTACATTGTCAAGTCACGATAAAATAAATTACAATCAAAAACACACCTCTAATACTTAATTCAGAGCTTACCTATAGAATGGAGTAGAATGACAAGGCATTAAGAAAAGAATATCTACTGTATCATTGGCTGACTTTATCTCCTGTCCAAGGAAATTCATTACATCTAATGTCCCCCTCTGGTGGTAGATACCAGTGTAAAGAGCTAATGGTACATTAACAAGCAATATGATGGCAGCTATCACAATGGAAACAGAGCGACTATGATATTGTTGTAGGCCAGCTCCAGAAATGCACATGGCCAAAGGTAGCACTGGTAACAGGAAACGGAATTCTTTATGACTTAGAAAACTGAAAAAAAAAAAAAAGGACAGAAATTCATTTTAAAATAAATGTTTAAACAGCATCACAAAATTCACATGCTTAAAAACAATAACTCATCATTAGCTGCCAAGATTCTATAGAATATATACTTGTGAAAAAAATGATAACTATACGTACGTATCCAACAAATATTTGTGTTACTTTAAGGAAAATAGTGGATTCTTTTTAATAAATCTTTCCAAATCACAGTTGAAAAATATATATATATATTATTACAATTGATATTTAAAAACTTGGATATGAAAGGTTCTCCCTATGCATGACTCATACTGGTAAGTCAATTGATATTTAAAAACTGGCATATGAAATGTTCTCCCTATGCATGACTCATACTGGTAAGTCAATTGATATTTAAAAACTGGGATATGAAATGTTCTCCCTATGCATGACTCATACTGGTAAGTCAATTGATATTTAAAAACTGGGATATGAAAGGTTCTCCCTATGCATGACTCATACTGGTAAGTCACTTTACTGGGCACTGGACTCAAGTTAGCTATACATGACTATTGCTGAATAAGGAACTAACAAAGAAAATTTAAAATGATAAAGATAGTATTCAGTAAAGGAAAGGCTTATAAGAAAGCTCAACGACACACAACAGAAAAAAAATATTTGCCTTAAATGTTTGCTTTATGCAGTACGTAAACCAACTGTGTAACTCAAGTCAACATCAAAGTAGAGTTTACATGTTACGTCAACATCAGACTTTACATGTTACATCTAACTCTTCAGTACTTAAAACTTCAGATCCTAATTCATTGTACAGTATCACATTTTTCTGTTGGTTAAGGTTGTAATTCTTGTCAGAATGAACCAAAGGTTTAGCAGAATTTAAAAAATACTTTAATGTTTATCAGAATATTAAACTTGCACATTTGTCTCATACAGCATACCTGTGCCGTTTAATATTTTATATTGCATACTATACTTAGATAGTTCAATATTTCATACCACATAGTATATTTATGGATGGCAACAGAAAATTGTCAAGCATTCATAAAAACATTCTGTGACTTTACTTACTGCACAGGTGTGCAAATGTATTAACTGCTTTGTTACCTTAGAGGCATACTTGTAAAACACACTGACACGCGGTTTTTAGGGACTTTCTTCAACCAAGTATGAAAGGGTAAAAAAAAATTTACTTGAGTTTGAAAAAAAACAAAACAACAAAGTTGTGACATAAAGTACAAAACTTTGTTTTTAAACAACTTTTCTGTAGTGGTTCAATTCTGTAAAGAATCATCATTAGAAGTTTTGGTATACAAAACTGTCCCATCTAGATACAATCAAGCTGTTCAATATTTCACATCATACAGTGTACCTAAGTCGTTCAACATTTTAAATCATACTGTGTACCTAAGTTGTTCAACATTTTACATCATACAGTGTACCTAAGTTGTTCAACATTTTACATCATACTGTGTACCTAAGTTGTTCAACATTTTACATCATACTGTGTACCTAAGTTGTTCAACATTTTACATCATACTGTGTACCTAAGTTGTTCAACATTTTACATCATACTGTGTACCTAAGTTGTTCAACATTTTACATCACATAGTGTTCCTTGGACATGTACATAAAGACTGTCACGGACAAAACAAACTATATAAAACCAACTTACCTGAACACAGCTATAAAGCAAAATATAGTTATTATTAGAGGACGCACTCGGGGAAGTTTAAGCCCTTGTATAAAAGGAATAAGATGGACAGTCATCACCACAAAAATCCCATGGGTAAAGTACCAGTGCCATGGATGAGTCCCATACATAGCACCAATGTTTCGAGTCCAGTTAAACAGAAGAAAGTTATACGGGGAAAAAATCCACTCTTTGTAGAAGGTGAAGTCAGCAATTATTAAGAAGAGTAGACTGACTGTCCTGAAAAATGTGGAAATATACCGTCAGACATATAACCAACAAACGAGTCAGCTAAGCAATTATTAAGAAGAGTAGACTGACTGTCCTGAAAAATGTGGAAATATACCATCAGACATATAACCAACAAACGGGTCAGCTAAGCAATTATTAAGAAGAGTAGACTGACTGTCCTGAAAAATGTGGAAATATACCGTCAGACATATAACCAACAAACGGGTCAGCTAATTATAAAATGAAAAGTGTCAAACAATACGAAGTGCCTTGCTATCTTTTATCTTAGCCCACAACGAGTTTTATCAGTCATTAGATACTATTTATTATTATATGTGGTTCAACAATTAAATGTAAGAAATAGCTAAGCGTACAAAACATTCCAGTGGTGATAATAATGTTGGTCAGTGGAGGTTGAAAGTAAATTTCCTGATGTTTCACTAGACCTATGCACGAACCACTAAACTGAACGGCAAACCGAATCAAAGTCTGTGCTACTTTCAGTACTTATAAACACTACTCAAAGAACTAGGCAGTTAAGTCATAAGGGAAAAAAGAAATTCTTGTCAAATGAAATGTGGGAGAGAAACACAGATCTTTTATTATTATTACATAAATCTAACACAGCATACGTAATGAATGATTAAGAATTTAATACATCAACAACAGTTTTAATAACATCTTAATATGACCAGAAACCTGAATAATGTGATGTCAAAGTTGGAATAAATAATCACTTAACCCTTCATTAACCTTTAAAACATCTTTAGTGAGAGATATTCAGATACATATAGTATGAAATTCTTTTGAACCAAGTGTCAAAAAGTCGTACTAATGTTTTAACTCAGGTTAAAGCTGTATATATATATCAATGGCTAGTAACTCGTATCCAGAGCTCCATAGTAACTCGTATCCAGAGCTCCAGCATTACCAGCTAACTAGATTTAAGACAAATTTAAGTCCTGTAGACATGGATTTGTAGGCTATTTATTGGCTCACATAATACTGCAAGAGGAATATTAATGAAAAATACATCATTATTGAGAATACATTAATTTATTATGTGAAATTTCAAAACTAATAAAAAAGTCATCAAGTAGGACATGTGATGAGCACAATTGTTTGCACTGAATTAGTGCATACATTTTGCAATATGCTTTGTACTTGCCGTGTCGAACCAACCAATGGCTGTATCAAATGTCTCCCAGCCACTTATCATTAAACATACACTTTCCCATGATTACATGGGCAGTGATACTGTGGTAGACCTAGTTCTGCCATTTGCATTAACAGAACTGTGTATGTCTATCAAACAAGCCAAACTCGATTTTGTGCTCCTGGCCCAGGTAATAAGCCTAGACAAAATGAACATACAGCAAACTCAATCTAGTACCCCCCAGTTTCATGTAAGCCTAGACAAAGAGAATGCAAAGTACTGTAATGATGTTAAGATAGGTGCAGAGTTTAACAAACCTAAGTTACAAAAAAGATACAGCATCAATAACCACAAAAATTAAATTTAAGACCTCAAACGCCAAAACTTGTGTATTTAAGACTTTTTAAGGCCTTATAAAAAATATCATATCAATTTAAGACTTTTTACAGACTGCTAGGAACCCTGGTATCACTCTGGCACTGTGTGTAACCCCCTATGAAGGAACAAGTCCATTTCAAGGGGTGACACAGATATTTGTACAAATTGCTATAAGCTAGTTTTTTTTCTCCTATAAATGTTATTTGGAACAGTCAGTGATATATGCAGGATTGTATTACTGCACTTTTAATATGTGTGTTTCAATTTTGGTAGTAAATAAGGATTCTTCTTGTCTATGTTTGGTGCAGACGTTTAAAAGAAAGCCTTCCTCCACCTCAGTAGCCAGTTAAAGTTACAACAAAATTAAGTAAATACTTAAGAATATACATGTCTTTTTAACTTTGAATAAAGATTCTTCATTTGTTCACTGACACTAAAATCAAACTGTATCAAATTATTGGCATAACAACTCAATACCATGATGTAACACCACCACAAACCAGAGAATTAACATTAACCTTAAACAAACATAGGGAAGGAAAGTATCAAGAATTGATGTAGGATACACGAGATAATGTTAGGGCCCATATGTTTGGTAAAATTTATTTTTAAACCAATATATTTAATAAACAAATAATTATCTAGTAAAAAAGAAATGAAACACTGATTTAAAAAAAACAACAAATATTTTATATAATATTTTGTATTTTAAACCACAAATGCAAGTTATGTGACACACAACCTAAATGGACAGATTAAGACCCAAAGGTTCATAAATGTGGACCAGAGGGAAGGTAACTGGTCAACAACTGATAGAAGGTTATATCATGGCTAGAGCGTTTGATCTTCTGATATGCAGCTTGACAAGCTACTAGGTCACATCCAGTTCAATATATTAAAATTACAATTCTTTATTTTTCTTTATTTTTTTATTATCAGTGCTAGAACCTTCATGTTTAATCATGAGCTTCAGGTTTATCAATTTGACACACCTTGTGACTGGAAAAACAAAATTTAAAAAATATATTGAATCAAATTACAAGAAACTTGTAATTAGCTTTTTCAATATTATCGGCTTTCTTTAAAAAGAAAATCACAGAAGTTAGTGTGTGAAAGTTATAAAAAGTTTATTGTAAAAAACACCACCTTTATAAACAAAAAAATAACGATACAAGACTGATAACTTTTACGATTCATTTAATTTTTTTTTCTTATCAACGTATTAAATTTAAACTGTAAAATATTTTCAGATATTTATGAAAAAAAAATTACATGCAATCCTTCATTTCTTTCTTTTAAGAGTTAGCATTATAACGATGCACAAAATGTGTAAAATATGAACCAGAAACTAACATAGCTACTTCCTAGAGAGCTTCTAGAACTAAAGCAAAGTTTTCCATATGAAACACTTAATACTGAAATAGATTTATAACAATTTTTTTTAAACTATTATTTTATAAACCAATCATCAATCTTGTCACTAATATAAAACATAGTATAGGCTTCAAGTTAAGAGTTTTCCATACGTGACACGTAATTCTCTTTTTTCTTTCTTACTCAGGTTAGAAATAAACTATGAAAAACTCTAGCAAGCCCACTAAAAATATATTAGATCTTTCAAAATACTTAAACAACCAAAACATTATTTATCTCCAATCACATAAACTGTCACTTCTTACCCAACCATAACATAACTTCCAAGTAATCTTGGCCAGTAGCGAAGACTTGTATGGCACCAGTGTTCTAAGCACAGAGGGAACCAAAAGATGGCAGCTGTCGGCCGTATCAAACAGGAAAGTCCAATAAACACAAGGTATTTCCATTCTGAGCTGTCCTTGGTAATAATTATAAAATGGAGGAAAGAAAACAAATATCAGTCTCGAGAAAAACTAACATTAATGAAACCTGCTGTGATAAAATGGTTTTTCTAAATCCACTGTTACATACAGTCACATTTTGATGAAATACAAAAAAAA